AAGATTGACATATCTCTCCACAAGTTATCTCAATTAAAATCTTTACTACTTAAAAAGCAACCTCACCAGGCGTGATGGCCCATGCCTGTTATCCCAACACTTTGGGAGGCCAAGGCAGGCAAATCATCTGAGGTCAAGACCAGCCTGACCAACATGGAGAAGCCACGTCTTTATTAAAAATACGAAATTAGCCGGGCATTGTGGCGCATGCCTGTAATCCCAGCCACTCAGGACGCTGAGGCAGAAGAATCACTAGAACCCAGGAGGCAGAAGTTGCAGTGAGCTGAGATCCCACCATTGCACTCCAGCCTGGGTACCAAGAGTAAAACTGTCTCAAAGAACAAAAGGCAACATCAATATTTTTCAGAAACTCCAGTGCTTCAATCTATTCCTTTCTCTACCCAGATATTAAATATTAAATTTTAAGGTATGAAAAAAACCTCTTCACCATTTGAAGAATTTGTGATCTAACTTTAACTACAAAATTATACAGGATTAAATTGTAATACACAATGATAAATTAAAAATTACAGTCAAAACCCCTCATTTGATACCAGATTGCCATTTTCTTCAAGCTTTCGCAATGTAAGCAACATTAAGATTCACTTTCACTGCTATCTGGTAAAATTTAAGGTATTCTTTTTGAAGCCTTAACATGATTCTCACACAATAGTTACTGCAATTCTTCTATCTCCTTAAGGTCCCCAATCCTGATTCACTAAACCTCATTCTAAGGACACCACCTGAGAAAGTCACTGGTTTCTTCATATTCTTACCTCTCACAATGCCTACTTTCACTTCTACTACATGCACCTCAGAGAGAGAGAGATCTACCTCTTTTCTAAGATTAACTCCTTAATCTCAATAAATAAACCCATTTATTCTAACCAGTTTCTGGAAATAACTGCAAACCGTTATTCCTTCAACACTCATATTTTGCTCAGTACCATCCTTCCCTTCCCACTGGTTCCTTCCACTATCTCCAAACAATCCAAAAACAAAATACAACAAAACACTTCTCACTTTAGCCTATATTTATTTCCTTTCTCTGTTAAATGTTTAGTATATTTTTGAGACAGGGTCTCATCCTGTCACCCAGGCTGCAGCACAGTGGCATGATCATGGCTCACTACAGCCTCAAACTCCCAGACTCAAGCAATCCTCCCACCTCAGCCTCTTGAGTAGGTGGGACCACATGCTCTTGCCATTATGCCCAACTAATATTTGGAGGTGGGAGTGGCGGGTTAGAGATGGGAGTTGCACTATGATGCCCAGGCTGCTCTTAAACTCCTGGGCTCAAGCAATCCTCCTGTCTTGGCCCTCCAAAGTGCTGGGATTACAGGAGGTGTGAGACACTGCACCAGGCCTGCTACATGTTCTGAACACACCGTTCATATCGGTTTTTTCACTCACACAGTTATTTTCAACACATCTATATGCTTAACACCGTGAAGCCAAAGAAAAGTATAATTATGATATCATCGCAATTAGGGATACAAAACACTGTGTTGTATGTGATTTAAGTGATGTCCCTGAAGAACCATCTTTCTAACAAAACTGTACTCAGAAAAGCATACGGCATCTATGTTCTCTTTAATCCTCTAAAACTGGCTTCTTTCTCTAATTCAGACTGTGCCCAGATGTCACTAACAACCTTCTAATAACCAAATTCAAATGTCTTTGTCCGGGCCAAGCGCAGTGGCTCACGCCTGTAATCCCAACACTTTGGGAGGCTGAGGTGGGCAGATTACCTAAGGTCAGGAGTTCAAGACCAGCCTGGCCAACAGGATGAAACCCCATCTCTACTTAAAATACAAAAATTGGCTGGGCATGGTGGCAGGTGCTCGTAATTCCAGCTACTCAGGAGGCTGAGACAGGAGAATCACTTGAACCTGGGAGGAGGAGGTTGCAGAGGGCTGAGATCATGCCATTACACTCCAGCCGGGATGACAAAACCAAAACTCTATCTCAAAAAAGTCTTTTTCCCCTCAGTTCTCATCATCCTTCTTGTACAAGTATTAATACTGGTGATGCAAGCACTACCGTAAAAGATTTTTCTTTCCTTAAGTTTTCAGAATTCTTTACCAACCTCGTCTTTGTACCTTTAAATCTATGATGACGACAGGTTGTAACAAATGATTTTTTCTAAAAGTCAAAATGATTAAGACCCACCCTTGTCAGTTGGCTCCTGATTGCCCCCATCTACCTTTAGAAAAACATAGTTTCTGTTTCTCTCACCTCCTAGCCCCCACCTCCAGGTGAGTGAGGAACTACTTCCATAAATAGACACCTCACATGTTTTCAATCCCTCTCATTACCACCATATCTAATTAATCTTTAAAGTAACTGCTTGAAGTTACTCCACGTAAATACCTAACCTATACAAACATATGGCTCCCACCCTACTCACAGAACTTGTATCATACAAATCTTTCATGAGACAAGTAATCAGATATACCTTGGACTTATGCGCCATATATTTTTCTTTTCTTTTTTTTTTTTGAGACGGATCTCGCCCTGTTGCCCAGACTAGAGTGCAATGGCACGATCTCAGCTCACTGCAACTTCCACCTCCCAGGTTCAAACGATTCTCCTCCTTCAGCCTCCCGAGCAGCTGGGACTACAGGTGCCCACTACCACACCCAGCTAATTTTTGTATTTTTAGTAGAGACAGGGTTTCACTATGTTGCCCAGGATAGTCTCAATCGCCTGACCTTGTGATCTACCCACCTCAGCCTCCCAAAGTGCTGGGATTACAGGTGCGTGAGCCACCATGCCCAGCTGTCATATATTTTTCTAGATTCTAGAAATACAGTAACTACCACAGACAAGGTCTAGGCATTCATGAAGTTTATATTCTACTCAGAGAAACAGACAAAAATCAAAAAGTAAATAATATGGGTCGTGCATGGCAGTTCACATGTGTAATCCTAGCACTTTGGGAGGCTGAGGCGGGCAGATCACTTGAAGACAGGAGTTCGAGACCAGCCTGCCCAGTATGGTGAAACCCTGTAACTAAAAATACAAAAAATTTGCCAGGCACGGTGGCACAAGCCTGTAATCCCAGCTTCTTGGGAGGCTGAGGCAGGAAAACCACTTGAACCAGGGAGGCAGAGGTTACAGTGAGTGGAGATCGTGCTGCTGCATTCCAACCTAGGCAACAGAGTAAGACTCTGTCTCTAAATAAATAAATAAATAAAAAGTGATTATATGATTTTAAGAGGTACTACATGGTTTTT